AAACGTGTCCAAAAAATCAACCAGAAACACTAACCCACTACCTAATAGACTGTCCGCACGCACAAGTCCGTTGGGCCAAATGTTGAAAAGCTTGGCACAATCTATAAGAAGAGGAATTTATGAAGGATCACTTTTTCCTCCTTACAACTATCAACAGGGAAGGCAAAGTTACTGATGAAAACAAACAGATACTAGAACTGCTCAGAAAGACAACTTTGTGGGTCATTTGGAGAGCCAGATGTGGGGGAACCATAGGGGAAAAGACAATGACAGCAAATGAATCATGGGAAGGGGCAAGGGAACTGATAGAAACTGATATCATAGTAGAATGGAAACAAACCCTGAATAGGATAGATAAAGAACCAAAAAGCACAAGGAAAAACAAAATCCAGCAGGAATTCGAGGAAGAATGGTTGAAAAATATACTAATAGCCAGAATTACAGGAAAAGTGTTGCACTTCACAGATTGGAGTAAACAAGAGATAGATCGAGAAGTAATAATCGAAGTCAACAACGTCCCTATGGACCTAGAGGATTAGAGGAACGTCAAAGATAGGCCTAAAACAAAACCCGAACTTAGGAAACGAACAAACCGACAAGAGAAGACCAATAACTAGAATAATAAAGAGGGGATAGACATCCACGGATTAGCCTCATCCGTGTCTGAAAAAACAAACATCAGAGATCCAATCAACATCGCCTAGGGATCTAAAAGGATCAGAAGAAGGGTAGGGTCAATACAAAAGAGTTTAGATAACCCCTTAGTAGCCTAGGAGGAGGAAGGGTAAGGCACCTAAAATAGGAGGAAGAATACAATAACAAGCAGGGTGCGTCGAAGTTCAAAAGGCTAGGGTTTAGGGTTCAGGGGGGCCAACGAAAGGAGTTCTAAAGTGGTAAGATAGGCTTTATTAAGAACTAGACGATTGCGCTCCCTGCTTGTCCTTCATTGAATCTTGCAATAAATCATCAACCATATTATTCAATCGAGCCTCAGTCTCGATTGCTTCACGATGCACCTTCACTGTCCCTTTATCAGATACAAGTAAACACGCCGCGGCTACGCCACGGCAGGAGGGAACGTATGTGATTGAAGAAGTGAGCAACACACTCTCTCTCTCTCTCTCTCTCTCTCTCTCTCTCTCTCTCTCTCTCTCTCTCTCTCTCTCTCTCTCTCTCACACACACACACACACACACACACACACACATTCATACATGAACAAGCCTACGTTGTCCCCATGATTTTTTTCGAGGAGTTCCCCCCTTATAAGAANCACACACACACACACACACACACACACACATTCATACATGAACAAGCCTACGTTGTCCCCATGATTTTTTTCGAGGAGTTCCCCCCTTATAAGAAACCCCATTGTTATAAAAGAATTTTTTTTTTTTCTGGCCAGGTCTTTGGAAAGTCTTCCGGGCCCTTTAAGGGTCTTCTTGAACCCCGCTATGCCACGATGGAGTACAGGCGCAACCCCTTACGGGTACTATTAGGCCCTCGGACCCTCCAACCGTCGATCCGTCGGATTGCCGACTGGTCCCCCGCCCCAGCTCCTTAAATCGCGGTGGAGGCAGGTCCTGTTCTCCTCCACGGTATTTAACCTACCCGGCCCTCCTATTCCTCCTCTCATCATTGTGCCATCGGACGAAGCGTTGGGTGGCCTCGCGTACCTGACCTGATTGGCACCGTTTTGAGCGCCCGTGGTTCGGCACGGTGATGCCACTCGGTGCTTCTCCGACTATGGCTTCCTTGCCCTAGCTCAGTCGTATCTCCTTCCCAAGGTGTTCTATGATCGCCGCAGCTGTTTCCATCGCCTGAATCCGCGTTCTGGTGTCTCGGAGGAGGCCCATCTTTGCGTTTGTGCGTTCTGCACCTAACCGCTTGCTATGTCGCCAACCTAGGAGTAGCTTCGTGTCTGGCGGATTGGGGCGCGACCAGAGGTCCGGGCTGAGTTGCTTGTCTTATTGCCTACCGTCGGAGCGTCATTTTCTAGCAGCGTGGCACGAGAGTTGTGTGTTGAGCATTGGCGCGCCATGGCACTGGGCACGGTAATGCGACGTGTACTTGGTTGTCCCTCCCCCCTCCCCCCTCCCCCCATCCCTTCCCCCCTTGCCCATTCTATTGTACTTCCCTATTTGGCTGTTGTTCCCCGCCCCCCTGTTTTTATGACGCATGACCTGTCTCCTTGTCTTATTGGAACCCGGGCCATGCCCGATCAGGGTTCTTGTCCCTTTTGGTGTGACATGCGGGAGGTTTAGTTCTCTGAAGATCCGATGGGATGGAAATCGGTGAGAAGTACTTAAGAGCGCGTCCATCACCCTCTCTGCATTCAACGGCGCATTGGAGCCGCTAGACCAAATTGGGACCTTCTCTCTCTCTCTCTCCTTCCCTCTCCCTTTTGTTTTGTCATGATGAGCCTTCCGGGTGCTGAATCTTCTTTTGTTGTTWATGTATGATTGYCGTGCGTGTTGTCYGATGATGTGTTCGTCCTAGGCACTTCTTTACGCATCGCCCTTAAGATTCGACTAGGAGCGCAGCTTCGGAACGAAGCTTCTAGTAGCTGCTCATCTGGCGTTCGTCTTCATTCTGGCTTTCATGGCGTATTTGGCGTTCTTATCGTTCCTCGATCTCCAAGCGTTTCGCTCGTTTCAGACTAGTGGATGCTCCCGTAACTCGTAGGCCGTTTCCCCTCCCTTGAAATGGTGTAAGGTTTGAGGGCTTGGTCAGTGGTTGATTCCCATAGTTTGGGGTGAGAGCTCTACGAGGGTGGCTGCTTCTGCGCTCCGTTTCTTTTCCAAGATGGAGGTGGCGGCGGGCCCTGCGCCCCTTCTGCCCACACTTTTCCTCTGCTTCCCCCTCCTTTTCTCCACCATCTTCTTGCTCCTCTCTGCCGGTCTACTCCTTGCAGCTGTATGGTCTGCTTGTTCCCAGCCGGTGGCGGTTTGCACGATTGGCCCCCCTACTCTTCCGTTCCCATGTATTTTGGGTTTGATTGCTTCTTCCTTTTGGCTGTTTTGGCACAGCATCTGCCTTTTGGCAATGGTGGCTCTCCTCGCGCGACCACGCATTGGACACCGCATCCTCTATTAGTACTTCACCCACCCTTAATCCGGTCAAGAGTAGGACACCAGCGTATGAGAGTTGCTTTCCTGAACTCGTGGATGTTTTCTGTTTGGGAGAAGATGACTGAGTTTACGCGAGTATTTTGTGGGACATACGGTAACCAGTGGTCCTTCGCCTAGTGATGGCAGCAAGGATACCGGGGGGAGGCGGGAGTGGAGGACATGAGTCCGATTGCTGAGTGGGCTTCGTGAGGATGATCGAGGGTTGAGTTGGAACGAAAGGCTGGAGTCAGTTCGTGAGTAATCGTATTATCCACATGTTGGAGGATTTTAAGTCGAGGGGGCGTGCGAGTATTTTGTGGGACATGCGCTAATCATTGGTCCTTCGCCTAATAATGGCAGTGAGGATACCGGGGGAAGGCGGGAGTGGAGGGTATGAGCCCGATTGCTGAATGGGCTTCGGAGGATGATCGAGGATGGTGATGGATCGGAGGGTTGGAGTCAGTTCGTGAGTAATCGTATTTTCCACATGATGGAGGAGTCAAATTCGAGTGGGCGTTCGGATGAGGATGATCGGTGGTGCATCGTGTGTGGATGGACGGGAATGGAGAGTGGTTTTGGTTTTTGCGATCGGTTCCTTTCAGTGCTTGTTGGAGGGTGTGGGGAAAGTATGTTGATAACGCCTGGCTTTTGAATTCCAATTCGTAATAGCATCTGCTTGTGCGCTATTTGACTTGGAATTCTGCGCATGTTATATGCGCTATGGCTCTTTGATCTTCTCCTGATGTTCACCGTAGAATGAAGAGATTAGAATGCATGACTCTAGTTATTTCGGCTTTCGATTGCTTTGTCTTCAAGCACTATTAGCATGAGTATTCGGTGGACTTGATTGCGGGTGTGTTTTTATATATGAAAGAAATCTTCCCCAYCGCCTTGTTCTCAAACTAATGCCTGTGTTCTGACAGCGTCCCTTTCGTATGGTTTTTGGACTGTAAAAATGTAGAACAAAAAAAAGGGTGGATAGTAGATACGCCTTTTTGGGTCGTATGTACTGATTTACTAAAGCCTCGTTACTTTACCTACATATGACGTTATTTGTATCCGGTGATTGGATTAAGGTTCTTCATTCTCTTCGTAAGAGTATTGACCTGTTCAATGTGCGTCTGTTTGGCCTTGCCCTGAGTGAGATGTGTGTATTGACCATGGTTTTCGTGCATCATTTATATGGTAAATGGAACGTTCCCTGRCCTTGGTTGCCGTCCTATCGCATTACTATCATTATGTCTGGCACACTCCTTGATGCTATGTGACTCGTTTCCGACGGGTGTTGTTCTTTTTTGCCTCAACCTATGGCGCAACATGCTGTGACACGGTCGCAGGAGCCACGTAACACAAAACAAAACACACACAGGGACTTGTCTCGTTTTGCTTACGAGGGGGTCAGAATCCCCGTCGTCATGTTGTTGCCATTAACAGGCTTTTTGGCACCCTTGCGAGTTTATGTATGGATCTTGTGAGTAGCTTAGCTATGATGGTTTGATGGGTTTTCAAAGGCTTTTTCCGTCCCATATCCATTCGATGTATGTGACCTACGGTGTGCATACGCCTCACCCTGTGTATTGCCCTCCTTGTGGCAGGTCCCCTCTTTCTCGGAGAATGGATGGTACACCGATCTATTGGAAGGGCGCTCGGAATGACTCGATGCGTTCCCTGCCCCATCCCGCCCGACACAGGCTCTTATCTCACTTGCCTCCCCCAGGATCTTGGAGTTTGTCCGTTTGCACTCGGAAGGGGTTAACCCCCCCCTGATCTCGATTCTCTCCTTTGATCTCTGGGCTGACCTACTCTGGAATGCGGTGAATGACAAGCCAGCTTTCCTGAACCTCACTAAGTATGTAGTTACGCAGGCGAAGGAGATTGCCAGTGAGGACGAGTTAGTGTTGATGTGCGTTGATATGGAGGTGGCTATGAAGGAGAAGGTGTTTGTTGAGTTGTTTGGAGCTGAGTCCAATTTTCATGCAGGTCTGACTCAGGAAATCCTAGCATCTGTGGAAGGTGGCATTGGCGTGGATGAAGATGAGGATGAGGATGATGAGGACTCACTCCCCTTAACGGAAGAGGAGAAAGCATACCACGCTAAACTGGTGGCGGAAGGGAAGAGGGATAGAATGAAGGCGGTCACTGCTAATCAGAAGTCGAACGTTAATAAGTATGTCCGCAATGCCTTCCTTCCCATTGTTCCACCTAGATGGATTGAGTCGCAGTCTAGATCCGTGGACGACAAGCTTTGGGACCTCTATACCTTCAACTACCTTGCCCCCATCCATGCTGACTCCTATCGGTTTTTAGCGTCACTTACGGAGGACGAGATGAAGAAGTGCAATGAGAAGGCACTCATGGAGAACATCGACCTGATTAAGGGCAACTACCCACTTACTCCTGACATGATGAAGCTCCCGACCATTGGTGATTTTGACCGAACCAAGTGTACTGTGTCTCCTTCTGCCTTAGCGATTAGAGGTTTCATGGCACCGAACAGCAGACAACCATAGCGGAACTGAAGCGCATTTGGAACGTAGGTCGGCCGTACCTCAAGTGTCAGTGTGTCGCGGAAGGGAAGGGCGATTGTGGTAAGAATATATCATGGCTGGATCATGTCCTGTGGTATCTCTTGTCTGACCTCCATTACCTCTTCGCTGAAGCCCCGTCGCTTAGAGCTAGAGCACGAGCATTCAGGGTCAGGGCGAAGACCACGTGGCGGGCTGCCATCCTTGCCTTTGTCGTGTTCACACATACGAGGGACGTAATGGTGAAGATGGCCTACATTGTGGCCATAGACCCAACCAGGACCGCGGCGAACATTTTGGACWACCCTGCCATCATGTTGCACAAGTTTCCTAGAACCATGGCCAAGCTCATCCTTCCGGCTCGTTATGTGAAGGCGAAGGAGAAGAGGAGGGTCGAGGCTGCGTCATCTTCGGCGGCAAAGAGGACAAGGAGGCCGCAGCAGACCATCTTGGAGTTCTATGTCCCCCTCGCACAAGGGGACGTCCCGACACATGCTCAGGAGAACCATTCCCAATCGGAGATTGCCACTCCACCATCATTTACTGTCACGACCCAGGAGGATGCCCAGCCTTCCATTTCTAGTAGACCATTGAGGAGGAGTCCGAGGGGACTGGGTTTGGCTAAGATTTCATTGTTTGGAGGCTGACTTTGTAGGATGCATGTTTTTCGTCGCTGTGTGTGCAGGATGATTGTGTTCTGGGAGGGATCATGTCTCGTGGCCCCTCTGGTCGCAATGTTTGGCAAAAGGTGCCTTCGCAGGATAATAATTTTTTTGTTCACATCTTGTATACAAGCAGGATCATGGAGCATGTTCTCTTCAGATCTATCCTCGAACTCGCTGTTGATCAGTTTTTTCCACCAGCAGCCAAGGAGCTTCTTGCGGYGGTCGTGATTGGATGGACATATTTGAATACGCTGGAATCCATTGTGTATAAGCCTGCTTCTGTATTTCGTGATTTTGTGTTAGGGGAATGGCTGCAATTTTGCGAGGGGTTTGATACGTGCTTATGCCTCACGAATCGCTTCTTACCCTTCCACCACCCATGCACTGTGGAAATGGCCCAACCTTTTTCTTCCCCCTCCACACACATCCTTTCCCTTGACCCGGGTATCTCCTCGCATCCGAAATTGAAGCATCTCCTCTCCCAGGGCTTGAATCACATCCCATTGCACCCTCCCGTCCCACATACAGCCTTCCGTGAGTTTTTGAAGGCTTGGCACTCTGTGATGGCTTTTTTTTGCAACCGAATGCACATCACTAAAGCTATGCAAAACRRAGCGTCTGCTTTTGTATCAGCACAGCTTAAGGATCAGCTTGGCTTGCAAACTCTGGTGAGACATCATGACCCCCMRTATGTTACTAACACGCATGCGTTCAAGCACGAAGTGGAATTCCTCTCGAAGCGTGTGTACATTGCAGGAACGGACAAGTCGGCTAATACTCCATCCTTTACATGTGTCCATCTCGTGAGAAAGCTTGCGCTCGAGAGATTGAGGAGTGATGATTTTGAAGCCCTGCAGATAACCGGAGGGGATATCATTGGGGAATCGGAGTCTTCCCTTGCTTCTCTCCTTCCCTCGGTGGCCATCGGCCCGAGGAAGGTCCCCTATCTTATGGCGCTTTACAAACATCACAAGCGTGCTTTCCGGTGGCTTACGAATGCCTCTTTCTCCTTCCTTACCCCCGTGGCCCGCATGTGCGATGCCAACCTGAAATGTCTCACCCCCCTTGTGATGTCCCACTATAAGGAGATCACAGACGGATTGAAAAGGTTCCATGGGATTCAAACCTCTATCTGGTGGGCCATAGACTTAGTCCAGGATTACTGTTTTAACCTCCCAGAAAAAAGTTTTTTCTGTGTTCTCAGCAGACATTACTCGGTGCTTTGAAAAGATCCCGATAGACTCATCCGAAGATAGTATGTCCGTTGCGGTAGTTTTCTTTGTGAAACTTGCATTCAAAACAACATCCTCTAGGAACCATGGTCAATTCGTCAAATGCAGAGGATGTCGCGATGGGTCTTTCGTCTGCTCTGTGCACAAAGGGAGATCGGATTCCTTCCCTTCCTCGGTATTTTGGCTTGATTATAATGAGGTTATTGCTCTTACCAATTGGTTAGTGGCCCGCTGCTTCACATCCTTTGGCAGAAAATTTTGGAGGCAGACGGTTGGGATCCCCATGGGACTTCCCTGCTCCCTTGTATGGTGCACTGTATATTTTTTCAAGTATGAATATGGTTTGGTCATGAGGCTGATAGATAGGAGAGCATTCGCCCTCCTCCCACTCTTTGAACACACGTTCAGATACATTGATGATCTTCATGCCCTCAACAACCCTCTAATCCTGAAATTCTTAAACGGACCCGCGGAGGGTAACGATGATGAAATCTTCTCCCTTTACCCGCGTCACCTTATCGAAATTCGGAATCAGACTGAGGTTTTCGAATTGTCCAACACAGGGGAAATCTATGGGCTTAAGTCCCAGTTCCTGAATGTTGAGATTGCAGTCACATCGGATTCGGAGGGGTCCTTCTACTTCACCAAGTTTGATAAGAGACTTTCCCTGGATTTCCCGGTGGTGAGATATGTCAAGTTTGCCTCCAATAGACCAATCCAACAATCATTGAATATCATTTTGGCACAAGTCGCGACTGTCCTGGTCTTGTGTACCCAACCCGGGGACGCTGCCAAGGAAATCCTGAGGATTGTTACCTTCATGGTTGACAATGGATTCTCGCTTTGCGGGTGCTTAACCTGTGTAAATCGTGTCCTTAACTCCCCCAAAGATTTTCTTCCCCCCAGGGCGGAGATCGAAGCAACGAGGAGGGAATTTCTGGTAAGTATCTGTCTTTTTTTTCTCTCACCCCACACGCACCCCACTCCCCCCTCTCTCCCCCTATCCTATCTATGACAAGTGGTGTGATGAGTGGGTGGGTGTGTTCTTGGCTGGCCTCTACCGGTAAGGCTGCTGAGGTAGTCAGTGGGTACCCTGCTTAAGGCAGGTACCTACTACCTGCCTTAGCATGCTACCCCTGACGGGGAAGGGGAGGGCCACACACACACACACACACACACACACACATTCATACATGAACAAGCCTACGTTGCTGTCTCTTATACACATCTAGATGTGTATAAGAGACAGGTGTGTGTGTGTGTGTGTGTGTGTGTGTGTGTGTGAGAGAGAGAGAGAGAGAGAGAGAGAGATGATAAGTCTCCGACCTCGCGGCTCGCGTCATGCTACTTCCATCGATAGGATGAGCAACATCCAATGAATCTTCGGCTAGAACATGGACATATACACTACCTGGTTGAATATGGCCGACATCTTCCCCTAGAACATGGAAATATTCACTACCTGGTTGAACATGGCCGACAACTTCTACGGCGCGGCGCGAAAAAAAAACCGTAGCGAAAAAAGAGCCCGTTCATAAAGTCACGCGACACCAACCGCCCCCCCCCAAAAATGGCAGTAAACAGAAAACCCCGCCGGGCCCACGAAGCCGAGCCAACACCAACCCAAAAAAAAAAACGGCCCTTAACAAAAAACCACGCCGGGCCCAAGGTGCATCGGGCCCACGCGGGAAAGGTCTCAGCGGGACGCGTCACGCGAGACCCGCGTTTTGCTTTAGAGTATTAGGGAAGAGAAGCCATCTAATGGAGCCAGCTCTTCATGCAAATTCGACAGCCAAACAGCTGAGAGGTACAAGTTAGAACTAGCTCTCAACAACAAATCACAATAGCCGAAAAATAGTATGGTGGAAGAGAGTATCAGGTAAAGATGAGTAACTCATTGAGGCTAGCTTAGGCAAGGGGGAAGAGTGGTACATCCTTCTTACAGGAAGTAATCAAGGCCGTCCTTCAGGCCTTTCCACCATAAGGGGGAGGAGCGTCTGTGAGTTATTCATGTAAGATTTTGACTTGCCGGTGGAATAGGAACCGGACTGACGCTCCCCTGAATGGAAAAAAAAACTTCTAGTCAGAAATGGCCATAAGTCTGCAACGAACCATTAGGTGGCTTATCTAGAATTTACAAAGAATAACCAGTTGAGACTTTGACTCTTTTTTTGTTCTTCTAGAGAGATGCATGCAGCCATTCCCTTGCCGACCAACACTCAGTGAGCCTCAAGGCAAACTACTAACTTGACAAAAGTGAATCCCACTAATGGGGCATTTTAAACACAATATGTTATCATCCTGGCCATGTAGAATCTCATACAATAGAAGCAAAGGTGGGAGTTTTCACATGATTTCAATAACGATTAATTGTTTATCATGGTGCCTCAAGTGTTGACAACAACACAAACCTCTTCAAAGTGCTTCTTTCGAATCTGCGATAGAATTTCCATGAATCGTCCATGATCAGCCAACACCATCATGCGATCAGCAAAGACTCTTTCACATTCGTGTATCCATAACCTTGAAATCTTCACAGGGGTCGTATAGAACTCTGGCATAGATCTACATACACCTTGTGTGATGTTCGCCATATCACGCAAGTTGAACTGGTAATGGAACTTTATGGCTGTTGGTAAGAATGTATTGGCTACCTGAAGACATTTGTGGGGAAAAAAAGACATTTTGCCGAGAGACATCCATACACAAACAAGGCCCAACACCCAAAATGGACATCAGTAAATCTCCGGAGTGAAAATGCAACAAATGAGAGGTGGCTAATGGGTCCACTAACATGCAACAATTATATAGGAACTAAAATTCTGAACCCACCCACCCCCCCCCTCCCACAAAAAATAAAATAAAAAAAATAAAGCAAAACAAAACAGGGGGGGAGGGGGGGGTTAATGTTTTTCAGCACCTTCACCACTTCAAAGTTTTCGGAATCTACTTCTGAAGTGGTGAAGATGCTGAAAATTATGAACCACCACCACTATCTCTGAGCCTATTTTTGCCGACCCTGATTTTTACTGCGCACTGAGTTTTGCCGAGCCTGGGGTCCGTTTTGTCTCTTTTCTGGTACTCTTCTGAAAAGAAAAAAGAAAAACGCACGGTTAGACTTTCAAAAAACGACACACTCACAACCACATTAAAAAAAAAAACAAAAAAAAAACCCACCCCTCTGGACGTGATACAAGGTAGATACCTGCCCCAAAGTTGTTGTGCGAGTATGCCCTCAGTGAGGGCTTACCGCAGGGGTGTCAGGTCCACAAGAAAAGAGGAGGAAAAAAAAATTGAAGCTGAACTTAGGGCGGGGAAGCGGGTTCATACATTCTGCAAAGTTGTAGTGTGGGTATGCCCTCCATCACAAACTGTTAGCAGCCTGTGGACTGCGCTGTGCCTCCTTGGCAGGGCACCAAAACAAAAATAAAGAAACAAAACAAAAACACCAGCAACGACAACCTAAAACTGGCCACAATCGTAGTTAGATATTTTCTTGTTGTGAGTATTGGTGTGAGCACAACTTTGTGCACAGCCTTCCTGGACTTGGTCTTTT